CATACATACATACATACATACATACATACATACATACATACATACATACATACATACATTCATACATACATACATACATACATACCGCCCCATAGTGCTACAAGCACTCTCCGGGCAGTTTACAATTTCATTATACAGGCTACACATTGGCCTCCCAGCAAGCTGGGTACTCATTTTACCGACCTCGGAAGGATGGAAGGCTGAGTCAACCTTGAGCCGGCTACCTGGGATTTGAACCCCAGGTTGTGAGCACAGTTTCAGCTGCAGTACAGCGTTTTAACCACTGCACCACAAGGCATTTTTCCCTCGTGGCACCAAGTCTCTCGTAACCCCTACCTAGCAAGGCTCATCAAGCACCTTCTTAAGGAAGTAAAAACAGCCACTCTGAGCCAGACCAAAGGACTATCTACTCCAGCGCTGTGTCACTACAGTAGCCAACAACAGAAATCTGGAAAAATCACAATCAAGATATGACGGCAAGACCACCCTCCCATTCATATCAACTGATACTAAGAGATATGCTTTCCCTGATACTGGAGGTTATGATCATAGAATAACTGCAATGGAAGGGGCCTATAAGGCCCCTCACAAGTAGCCACCTCCATGAATTCCTCTAATTGCATTTTAAAGCCATCTAAGGCAGTGCTCCCCCTTCATGGATTGCTGCCTTGTCATGATGAAGGGGCTTGAGTAATTCAGAGAAGCTATGGGCTATGCCGTGCACGGACACCCAAGACGGACAGGTCAGAGTGGAGTTCTTGACTAAAAGCGATCCACCTGGAGGAGGAACTGGCAAGCTACTCCAGTATCTTTGCCAAGAAAGCCCCACGACCAGAAACAAAAGGCTAAAAGATATGACGCTGGAAGATGGGACCCTCAGGTCAAAAGGCATCCAACATACTACTGAGCAAGAGCGGAGGACAAGGACAAGTAGCTCCAGAGCTAATGAAGTGGTTGGGCCAAAGCGGAAAGGACGCTCAGCTGTGGACGTGCCTGGAAGTGAAAGGAAAGTCCAATGCTGTAAAGAAAAATACTGCATAGGAACCTGGAATGTAAGATCTATGAATCTTGGGAAGCTGGATGTGGTCAAACAGGAGATGGCAAGAATCAACATTGACATCCCGGGCGTCAGTGAACTAAAATGGACAGGAATGGGCGAATTCAATTCAGATGATCATCATATCTACTATTGTGGGCAAGAACCCCACAGAAGGAATGGAGTAGCCCTCATAGTCAACAAAAGAGTGGTAAAAGCTGTAATGGGATATAATCTCAAAAATGATAGAATGATGTCAATACAAATCCAAGGCAGGCCTTTCAACATCACAGTAATCCACGTTTATGCACCAACCAGTGCTCACTGCTGGTAGCAACTGACCAAGAGTTCAATTACATTAAAGCAATAGTTTACAATATGTGTCAGGAGAAAGGGAAACCAAGTTGAATCAACCCCGAATCATGTGGTGTTTGAACGGCAGCTTGTGTTCCCTTGGAACAAACCCCTTAATCCAGTGTTTCTGTCACTAGTCCTGTGCGCTCTCGCTCTCTCCAACCCAAGGCTGGAATTCAGAGAGGCAAGTGTGCATACAGTGGTGGGCAGCTGACACACGCCACAAAAATGCAAACAGAACACATGCACACACAGTCGGGGCAAAGGAGAAGACTGGCTGGCTGACTGGAAGGGGGAAGAGAGTAATGGTAGCAGCGTTTTGCCCACCTACCTACTATTCAGCCATGGGTTTGCATGCCAGCCCAGTGAAGACCTCCTTTGGATGATCTTGCATTACCCTTTCCCCCCATCCCAGGACTAGAAGATTTGGGTGAGCGAGTGAGTGCCAGGGGCCTCACGAAGGCTGCTTGGCAACCAGGCTTCTCCCATATGCCCCAATTTTAACACAACAACAGTAAGGAAAAGTGGCTGATTAATGCAGACAGGCATTCGCATGGAGGAATCTATTTAAATGAGTTGATTCCATATCCTCTCTCTAGGTGTTGAGCTGGATAATGGCATTGGCAAAGCAGCTACCATGTTCTCTAGACTCACAAAGAGAGTATGGCTCAATAAGAAGCTGATGGCATATACCAAGATCCTGGTCTACAGAGCCTGTGTCCTGAGCACATCCTGCACTGCAGTGAGTCCTGGACCCTTTGTGCATGTCAGGAGAGTAGTCCTAGAACGTTTCATATGCATTGCCTCCGACGCATTTTTGGTATCACCTGGCAGTACAAAGTTCCAAATAGAGTAGTCCTAGAACGAGGTGGAATTTTTAGCATGTACACATTACTGAAACAGCAACGTCTACGCTAGCTCAGGCATCCAAAAGATCTCCTGTATGAGAACTAGTACAGGGAAATCGCCCCAGACGGAGACCACAGCTGCGATACAAGAATATCTGCAAGCAGGATCTGAAGGCCTTAGGAATGGACCTCAACAGATGGGAAACCTTGACATCTGAGCGTTCAGCCTGGAGGCAGGCGGTGCATCTTGGACTCTCCCAATTTGAAGACCCCCTTGTCCAGCAGGCCGAGGCAAAGAGGCAGTCCCGAAACCAGCCAAATCAGGGAGCTAGAAAGGGGACAGATTGGATGTGTCTCCAGTGCGGAAGGGATTGTCACTCTTGAATTAGCCTTGTCAGCCACACTGGATGCTGTTCCAAGACCTCTATTCAGAGCACGTTACCATAGTCTCTAGAGACTGAAGGATGCCTACTTCCCTATCCAGGGTAAAATAAACAGATCTCTGGTGAAAGAGGACCAAGAAACAGAGTTCTCTGACAAATTAATCCATCCTCACACATATGTCATGTATTCAGACATTTTTAGTGACTCAGAACTGGAGAAACCTAATTTAGATTTTTTTTAAAACAATGTAACCACCTTCTACGGCAGAGCAGAAGAACAGCCAAAATCCAACTCACAGAAGCTCTGGAGTGACCTTCCAAGCCTCTTCAATCTGCAATGGGTCAGAAACTGTCCCTGCTCCACTAATTACCCTGATGAAGAAAATGAAGACTATGGGGAAATAACCTTCTCTCTGGCCAGTGACCACATAAGACAGACTCTCTCCATCATCTCTCTATTCTTCTACACTTTGAAAACACACCATTTACACTCAATGGTTGAGTTTGCTTTCTGGTATTATGAGACCAAATTAGTGATGGTTTTACAAAAATTACATGTGGTATTGTTGTCTTTTAATTTGGAAAATGCAGGCTCAGCTCCTCCTGTATAGGTATATAGAGAAATAAGGATATGCATAACCACACAAACCTGAAATCTTATTGTTTAGCATAGTAAGTCACACGAGAGTGGAACCACTGAATCAGTTGGATTTGGTGAGTCAACTCCTCCATGAGTTCCAATAATTCAATGGGCCTACTCTAGTGTGCTCCAACTACCGTACAATTTTACTCATTTCACACACTAGCAAGGTTATGCTCAAAATCCTCCAAAGCAGTCTTTAGAAGCATGTGGACTGAGAACTCTCAGAAGTACAAGCGGGATTCCGAAAGGGCAGAGGAACTAGAGACCTAATTGTAAACATGCGCTGGATTATGGAGAAAGCCAGCAAGTTCCAGAAAAACATCTACTTCTGCTTCATTGACTATGCAAAAGCCTCTGACTGTGTGGACCACAGCAGACTATGGCAAGTCCTTAAAGAAATGGGAGTGCCTGACCACCTTATCTATCTCCTGAGAAATCTATACATGGGACAGGAAGCAACAGTTAGAACTGGATATGGGACAACTGATTGGTTCAAAATTGGGAAAGGAGTACGACAAGGCTGTATATTGTCCCCCAGCTTATTCAACTTATATGGAGAATACATCATGCGAAAGACTGGACTGGAGGAATCCCAAACCGGAATTAAGATTGCCGGAAGAAATATCAACAACCTCCGATATGCAGATGATACCACTCTGATGGCAGAAAGTGAGGAGGAATTAAGGAACCTTGTAATGAGGGTGAAAGAGGAGAGTGCAAAAAACGGTCTGAAACTCAACATACAAAAAACTAAGATCATGGCCACTGGTCCCATCACCTCCTGGGAAATAGAAGGGGAAGATATGGAGGCAGTGACAGATTTTACTTTCTTGGGCTCCATGATCACTGCAGATGGTGACAGCAGCCACGAAATTAAAGGACGCCTCCTTCTTGGGAGGAAAGCGATGACAAACCTTGACAACATTCTAAAAAAGCAGAGAAATTACCCTGCCAACCAAAGTCCACATAGTCAAAACTATGGTTTTCCCTGTAGTGATGTATGGAAGTGAGAGCTGGGCCATAAAGAAAGCTGATTGCTGAAGAATTTATGCTTTTGAATTGTGGTTCTGGAGGAGGCTCTTGAGAGTCCCCTGGACTGCAAGGAGAACAAACCTATCAATTCTAAAGGAAATCGACCCTGAGTGCTCACTGGAGGACAGATCCTGAAGCTGAGGCTCCAATACTTTGGCCATCTCATGAGAAGACTCCCTGGAAAAGACCCTGATGTTGGGAAAGTGTGAAGGCAAGAGAAGGGAACGACAGAGGATGAGATGGTTGGACAGCGTCATCGAAGCTACCAGAATGAATTTAATATAATATAAATGTAATATAATTCAATAAATAAGTTTTGTTGGCAGTAACCAGACAAGTGTCTGACTATAGTTCTTTATATATTGTGGATAAAGGAAACTGACTGGTGGCAGTGAGGAAAAGAGGGAATGTCACAATTGGTATCTGCTGGTGGGATGACATAGTGTGAGCCCTTTGTTTGTGGAAACAAGCAGGGACCACGTGGTTAAATGTCAAAGGCTTATATTATGAGCATCCTGAAAAATCATACTAGGTCTTATTTTCAGGGAAACAGGGTACTCCAGCAAGTCACCCCTATGCAGACAGGATCTTTATCTAACCCTTATCAAATGCAAGATTTCACAATGCATTCTTACAATCTATACATGATTGCATCTGTCATTTTTTTCAGGTGAAAAGAGGAAGAGAGAGAACAACTTTTTTACCTGGTTTGCATGGAGGCCAACTGCTGTTTGATGAAGCAAGTTCTTCTGCCTCCAGTTGTCTGTATCTTTCAACATATTCAACTCCAGAAATCTTTGAAGGATGTGACCTGGGGAGGAAGGGAAGATAAAAATGTAATCCCATTAATATTCTATAAATTCAAAAACAATAAAACACCCATCACTGAAAATTCCCATAAAACTAATCCTAAACATGTATTCAAGTTCGTTTTAGTGTATCCTTTATTCTACATACCGTTTCCCTGAAAATAAGACCTAACCTGAAAACAAGCCCAAGTATGATTTTTAAGGATGCTTGTAATATAAGCCCTACCCCCCAAAATAAGCCCTAGTTAAGTGAAATCCCGCCCTCCACCCTAGTGCAGCATTGTGCAGCAACCAGAAGATGACATGACTGTAAAATAAATCATCTGTAAAATAAGACCCTGTCTTATTTTCGGGGAAACACGGTATCACGTCTCAAAATATCACATTTCCAAGCTCTCAAGATACCACATTTCCTGACCAACACAATGTTTTCCAAACACAATGTAAAAAAAACCCAGAAGTTGCAAAGGTGTATTTTATGAAGGCTACCTAGAAAGTCTGGTACACAAGTACAGTGGTGTCTCACATTACAACGTTAATTCGTTCCAGCGAAATCACTGTAGAACGAAAATGTCGTAATGCGAAAATAAAAAGCCCATTGAAATGCAGAAACCCCTTCAATGCATTCCAATGGGCTGGAAACTCACCGTCCAGCAAAGATCCTCCATAGGGCGGCCATTTTTGGTGCCTGTGCAGCGAGGAATCTGGGGGGAGCCATTTTATTTACCCGGTGGTCATTTTTAAACCGCTGATCAGCTGTCCAAAATTCGTCATTTTGCGAAGAATCGGTTCCCAAAGCAGGGAACCGATCATCGCATAGCGAAAAACCCCTATTCAGACCATCGTTTTGCAATCGCAAAAGCGACTGATCTGTCATAATGCGGGGCAATCGTAAAGTGGGGCATGACTGTAATAAGCAAGCACTAGATTTATCTAGACGTTAAATCAAATTACAGAAACTTAGTTTCGTCGTAATACGGGGCAATTGTAAAGCGGGGCAATAAGCAAGCACTAGATTTACCTAGATGTTAAATGTCTGTAAATTATGAAACCCAGACTATCACATTTAGGGCATGCCATGGAAAGTATGAAACCCAGACTATCACATTTAGGGCACGCCATGGGAAGAAGCTGTATGTTGTCTCCCTGCTTATTTAACTTATATGCAGAATACATCATGGAAAAGGCAGGAGTGGATGAATCCTAAACCGGAATTAAGATCGCCGGAAGAAATATCAACAATTTCAGATATGCAGATGATACTACTCTAACGGCACAAAGTGAAGAGGAATTAAGGAACCTTCCAATGAGAGTGAAAGAGGAGAGTGCAAAAAATGGTCTGAAGCTCAACATCAAAAACACTAAGATCATGGCCACTGGTCTTCAATGGGAAGAAAATACAATAATGCTGAAAAAAGTTTAAAGCAACCAAAAAAGAGGAAGACTAAATATGAGATGAACTGGTACAATAAAGAAACGCAGTGCCTTAGGTTTGCATGATCTCAGCTGGAGTGTTAGTGGCGGAGGTCACTAATTCATAAGGCTGGCATAACTCTGCTGAGTTTAAAGCAGATTACAATTTTAAAATTTCTTGTTATGTGCTGTCATGTTGGAACTAATTTATAGCGACCCAACTAAGGATTTAAAGGTAAGTGAGATATTTAAAGAGTAGTTTTACCAGTTCCACTACCCCAGTCAGTTTCCATGGCTGAGTGGGGATTTAAACCCTGTTCTACAGAGTCCTAGTCTGTCGCTCTATCCACTACACTGGAAACAAAATTTTAAAATTGCAAAAGCAAAAACAAAGGCTACACACAAAACAATCAATTAAGTAAAAAGCAAGGCAAAGTGTGCTGCTTATATACCGCCCCATAGTGCTTCAAGCACTCTCTGGGCGGTTTACAAGTTAATTATGCAGGCTACACACTGCCCTCCCCAGCGAGCTGGGTACTCATTTTACTGACCTCGGAAAGATAGACAGCTGAGTTAACCTTAAGCCGGCTGAAAAGGGGGTTTAACCTTGAGCTGGCTACCTGGGACTGAACCCCAGGTCGTGAGCAGTCTTGGCTGCAGTACAGCAGTTTAACCACGAGGCTCTTATAAAGTGGCGTGGCAATTTAGTAAAGTGCTGGCAATTTAATTCACTACAAAGAAACACTGTACAACATGCTATCATGGTTTTTTCTGTGCATGAAGTGTATTCTCAATGAAAAGAGGATTGCTTCGACTACAAATGAATATAGTACCAAAAAAAGCTGGGAACAGCTATAGCATCAATGAAAACTAAAGGGATATGGTGACAGGGCATAGATGTTAACATGTTCTCCAGGGCCACCCACTGTGAAGAAACGACGAGCTATCCTATTACAGTGGTGCCTCGCTTGACCTTAATTCGTTCCAGCAAAATTGCTGGATGTATGTGCTGGCAATTTGCGAAAACGTTGTGAAACGAAATTAAAAAACCCATTGAAATGCACTGAAAACCATTCAATGTGTTCCAATGGGCTGAATACCTGCTCGTCCAGCGAAGATCCTCTATGGGGCGGCCATTTTCGGTGCCTGTAGTGCGAAAAATCAGTCCTAAAAACAGCGGGGGGCCATTTTCTTCAGCCAGCGGCCATTTTGAAACCCGACGATCAGCTGTTTGCTGATTGTCGTAAAGCGAAAATCGGTTCCCGAAGCATGAACCAATCATCGCCCAGTAAAATCGGTTCCCGAAGCAGGGAACCGATCATCGCACCGCGGAAAAACCCCATTTAAACCATCGTCAACGTTAAGCGGGTTCATTGTTAAATGGGGTAATTGTCCAGCGGGGCATAACTGTACTTTGAAAAGTGTGGCCATCTTAAAGAACTGTTGATAATCATGCAAGGACAAAAAGCCTAGTACACTAATTCGTTATAACTACCATGGCTGCTGTTGTTGATGCCATCAACAAATTTGGAATGAGAATCTATCTTTGGTGCAAAATAACCTTTTAAAATTATGTGTCTCAACCAGGAGAAGGGGGGTGTCCTTTGCTGTTCTAACAGTTGAAAGCTATTTTTGAGGTTCATGGATCAACATTTTAAAACATATTCACATATATTCTTGGGGAATGACTCCAGCAGCTTAACAAGACAGCTATTACCTCAACAGCGCCCCCTTCCTGTTTCCCCTTTTTATATAATTTCCATCATTACATTCTAAAACAATCTGACAACCCAACTCCCCAGACGCATTATATGATCCAATTAGGCCAGGTATAGAAAAAGTTATATTGCAGTCCAAGGAAATAAGATCCCTATCTTGGCAATTAGCACAGGTATGGTTATAATACCCATTCCTTATTCCCTCTTCATGGATTTCCCAGAGCAACTGGACTTTTTAAAAACGGCAAGTATTTTTAAGTAATTCTCAAGCAGTTCTTATAGACAACCTTATTGTTGAAATTTCCAAGGGGTTCCCCTGTTAGCCTACTGCAGCAAAACCAACACACTGTCTTGCAGTATCTTAAATAATAAAAATAAATGTTATTCAATGTAATCTTTCCTGGACTGCAACCCACTTGCTTCTGGTGTTCCTAATGAAGCTTCAAAGGTAGGCATTTCTACACAAGACAAAGGAGAGAAAGAATATGAAATGTGAAAGAAAGGAGAGAAAGAATATGAAATGTGAAAGAAATCCAAAGATGCAAGCGTGAAAATTACCTTTAAGGTAGTTGTTAAAGGAGGTTTTCCATAGTCAGTGGAGACAGACAAGTACATCTGAGCACAGATAAGAAAAAACATGTGTGCTGGAGAAATGTATCAGTTAAACCAAAATATCAGAGATGATGCTGGTCTGCAAATATATATGGGGTGGCTGGGGTGCGTGTGTTGGAATGAAAAGGAACAGAAAAATTCCCAGAAGAATAGATTAATAACTAATTAATCTATTCACAGTAATTTAAAAAATGACCACGAAAATAAAATTAAGGAAGGGAAAGCCAGAATGGCCCTTAGAAGAATTTCTGGAAGGTGAAGACCATTTCACACTAAAAGTAATTGTCACATTCATGTTAAGCACTCCACAACAGCAGATAGGATGTTAGGTTCTGAATGAATTAAGAGAAAGAAAAAAGGTTTTCCTTGACTTGAAGCTACAGAATGACCTCAGAGAGTCAACTTTACCAATGAAAAAATAAATCTGTATAAATAAGTCTCAAAGAGAATATAACATGCTCCCTCCCTCTCTCACACACACACATGTGCACAGACACACATACATACACACACACACACACACACACACGTGCACAGAAACACATACATATACATATGAACAACAATGGTCAGTCAAAATTGTGTAGCCATTGCACAATAATCATTGGGTTGTTGGGGGGGGAGTTCTTTCCATTTTGTATTTCTGGAAAGATAAGGATACCCCCCCAACTTCCCAGTTCATGCCATTTCAGTTACAGGACTAATTACCAATCTGAACTTCATCAAGAATACTTCAATCTACTTAAGAGTACAGTTACTGGTTTATCCAACCGTCTTCATGAGCTTCTCTAAAGCATTTGTGCAACCCAACATCAGACTGCACTGGTCTTTGCTTCCAGCTCTAATCACGATGCATCAGATCCAGCACCAAAACGGTATTTGTAAGTTTTTTTTCTTATTCTTCTGTCACATTTGTAAAGTTGACAGCTCAATTAAAGAGTCAAACAAGAAAGTTCTACGCATGAAGCAGGATGGTGATGCACATTTTCTTCCATACTGTAATGCAGACAGAAGACATGCGTCCTTTACCCAAAAGGTACAGTGAATACCCAGCAATGGACACCTGATTTTATTCAGATGCGCAAAGCAATGAGGATAAAAATCACATGCACTGTCATAGAAAGTTTCCTTTCCATTCACTAACTCACTCACTTCTATCCACCCATTTGGTGTCCAGGCACTACTCTGGGCTACTAACAGTAACTAAAGAACACACAACCACCTTCACCAAGCC